GCATATCGGTAATATGCCATTCTATAATTTTTTCCTTATTCTTATCATACCGGTATGGTTTTTGACGAACTGGCATTGCATCTCCGGTGTCAATACTATGGTTAGTAACCTGAGTAAATCCTGGAATATCACTAAATAACGAAGCAAATTCACTTACCACTTGTTGGATTCTTCCTTGCTCGTCGTTAGAGAGGTGGTCAAGTTTTAACATCGGCGGTTCAGCGTTTTCTGTACGAACTGGTTTCATTGTCAGCTTAAGGGACGCTTCATTAAAATCCAGCGTAGCTTGTGCTTCTGAAAGAAAATCTATTCCTAAAATTATATGTGCTTGCAGATTCTTTACTATAAAAAACATCACCTTTACTTGTTCGTCCTTGATACGGATATACAACGGTACTTTACCTACGCACTTACATTTTTCTCCTTGCGCCGCTAACACTGCCGTATTATCCGAATTATATATGCAGTATTTGCGAAAATACTTCCTAAAAAAATCTTCTGCCACACAGGAACACTGCGCGCCTGTATCCAGGAGTGCGGTGGCTGGGATATTATTCACCAAGACTTCAATCTTCGAAAGAGTCAGATTTTTCACCATTACTGTATTTAACTTGTAGGAAGAGGGATTTTCGTGGCCTTCGGATTTGCGCACCCTCCCGTCAGCAGAAATCCGTTTTAGTTTAAATTATTTTTGAGACTTTTTTCCTGGGTTGCTATTGAACTGTCGACGTTCGCCGGCTGTTTTTTGCCCGAAAAAAAAGCGAATCAGTTTCCTTGCCCACTGATTCGCTTTTTCTCCGTAGCCGTGTGCTTGAGTTTGCTGTAGTCTTGGCGTACCAAATTCGTTTCGCTGTTGATACTGGCGTCTTCTTTCGACGTCCGCCGTTCTTCTACTTTCAAACTGGATTGCTAGCTTAAATAACTTTTCCAGTGTTGTCGGATTTCTTAATTCAATAAAGTCTTGCACTTGGGGCAGTAACCTCGGCAAAATCACTTGAATTATTTCAGGATCTGGACGGTTTCCATACAAGAGTTTGAAGACGTGAATTTATCTTAAAATAAAGCTTGAGAGGTTTTCGATTCTTTGTTGATATATACTAAAAAGTTCCGTTTCTAATTTCGCACGATCCCTTACAACAGGGAAGGCTTTTAGTAGGGCAGTCTTTAAATTTTCGTAAGTATAGGTGGGACTTCCTGCTTGACCCAAGAGACTTCTGCCTATACATTTGAACCAGTTAAGCGCTTGGCCGCTCAAAGCGCTGGTAGCTAAGGTAACTGTTTTAAACTCGTGCACGGGATAGAGCATGAAGTGGTCATCCAATTTTTCCAAAAAACTGGTTACCGGTGAGTTTCCATTAAATGTTGCTTCTGGTTTCATCGAAGCGCGCATGGTCTGGACGATGTAACCAAATCCTTCCAGGGCGGCAGCTGGCATTTCTGGATTCTGAGCCGTTTCTGCAGGCAGCACAGGTTCTTCTTGAAAACTCGGCCATGGTTATTCTTCTTCGTTGTGCGCCACTATCAGGTTCAATGTTCCTTCTAACCTTCTTCGGGAACATACAAGGACCTGACTCGGAACAGAGAGCTTACTAAAGCTATGTTCACTAATTGTGGTAATAGACAGGATACACACGAAGGGTATACAAAACCCTTTATTTTTCTCTATATACAATAACTTCCGTACTTCGGAATACACCGACCCGCTACTTGGGGGTCTAACGTAAAAGTATAAAAATAAAACTAAACTCTAATTTAACTTTAGAATAATAACGTGAAGATTGGCCTAATATTAACAGGAAGCGTATGTAGTACAGAGAACTGTGAACACTACAATACGTTTTAAAATTTATCAAGAGGATTAAAACCTCTGGCCTGGAAGGCAAACACAACTGCGTAACGTCTAAGGTAAGCGGCCTGCTTTGACTCAACTGCTTCCTCTCTCTCGCTTGGCAAAAAGCCACAACTTAAATACTTGGCGTTCGCCAGACAAACTTTGCATAAAAACCTTAACGCTTATAATTCTGGCGGGAAGTAGAAAATAAGAAGTGATAGTAAAGATTTAAAATAAAATAAACGTTAGTAAAACTTAAGATCCTTACATGACTAAGGCATAATTTCGCACATCAGTATAATATAAATTGAACAAATTTTTTAACAAATAACTTTTCATTTGAACAAATGAAATGTAGTTATTTCTGAAGTAGAAAACACGAAAAATGAGCAATGCCATCGCCAGGACTCGAACCTAGACTTCTAAAATACGCGCCGAGTGTGCTGCCGTTACACTACGAAGCCATGCAGAAAGGAAAGAGAAAATACCGTAAAAATTCATTGACTAAATTTTAAATAAAGAAGGCAACACAAAGACTATCAAATCAAATACGTAATAATACAAGACATTCTTTAACTGATTCTTTGAAACACCAGATTAGGATATGCTGATGCACATTATCACTGTCAAAGCATACTTGCTATTTTGGTCACCTTGGTAGATGCTGCTACATTCCTATCTATTCTATAACTCCTAGAATGCCTTCTGAAAGTTCCATTCTGTGCACTATATGTAATTGTTATGTCTAATTAGAACTAAATTAGACATCCAGAAATTAATAGAAAATGCAACCGTGTTTTTTAGGCCAAAACCTTTTTGTAGGACATATGCATGAGGAACAACCGGTGGCCGAGTGGTAATTCGCTTTAAATCCCGCAAATGGGACTGACTGAACTGCTGATATGTAGTTACCAAATTTTTGTTTCTTTTCTTCTCCGCCAATTATAGATGCCTTATCACTCAAACTGTCGTTACTATCGGTTTGCCCGTTTAATAAAATGATCTTCATTTTGTGAAATATTAGTAAGGATTTTCGATTTATTGCATATTTTCGTCGAGATCAGGACTTTTTTTATAGACGTGTTAGGCTGTACGACGTTCACGCACTTACGAGTTCGATACTAACGGTCGAGAGCGGAAAAAAGAAATGTCAACAGATGCCAATGCTGAGAAGACTAATATAGCAATCTTGTAGAAGTAACAAGTGCGAAAACTGTGCAAAAAGAATTGAATACAAATCTGATGCAATAACTCAGAATTATTTTCAAATTGAAAGAACTGAATGATAGAATAAAATGACGCTTTAAGAAATGAAATTGAAAACAAGAATTATTTTAGATTAAAAGGAGAAATAAAAATGTTAAAAACATAATATAAATGGCATTAGACGAACAACTTAAATAAAAGTATTGAACAAAACTTACAAAACTATTATTTCAAGAAATAGATGAAAATTAATGAAATGTATAATTAATGAAACCTATTTATGAACGTATAATTAATGAAAAATATGACCGAGCGTTCAATGCGTCTTGTCTCTCCGTGATGCAAGGCTAGGAGTGCCTCGCAGCGCTGCTGGCCTTCTCTACGGCGCACGCTTTGGGAACCCCTGTTCAAGTTTTTGTGATGCAGCATATAGTGAGATTTTAAAAGTAACAAATAAGCAGTCACCAGTGCATTAAGATTCAGAGCGCTGTAACTCGGTACGAAATCCATGAATTTTAAATTTGTTTGCAGTAAAGCTCGTTTCCCAAAGTGAAAGAAAGTACTTAAATTAATTAAGGTATGTTTATGATTTGATCTTTTCTATTTAAGGATAGCGACAACAATATTTGAGTCCAAAAGTATTCGGTTGTCATGCTGAAAATATGCAACATCCTGTAACTATTTCATCGTGAATTATTATTGTTTTTTCTAGCTATTTAAACTTCTCGGGAAAAATTATGTGTATTGTTTTTTCAGACTTCTATAGAAGTTCCATAATGAGGAGGTAGTTTACGTGCTTTAAATAAAACTGTTTTTCAATCTTTGTTTATGAAATTTTGTCTTAATTTAAATTTCAATTTAAAGACATTTACAAAAATTAATGGTAAGCAAGACAAAAAGCATATTTTAAACAAGATGTTTTATATTTTGTAATTAAAAGAAATTTAGCACAAAATTATGCTTACAATATTTTATTAATTGGAAAGAGATAAAAAGAAAAAGTTTCCAGTTTTTTTTAATTCATTAAAAATTTAAGTCACTGTTCTTGAAATAGTAACCTTGTGATATTTATTTGAAATTATATTCCAAAAACAAAAATACTGTTTATTATAATACGAGTCGCATTTATCAAGCTAGCTTTAGAGCAATGTGTTGTTGTTCTATTATTTTTGGATAGGAAATACTAAGGCCATGACAAAATTTATCCACTGGGACATGAAACGCTATTTCCTGTAATGAAACAGAAGAATTAAGTTTTACTGAACCTGATGAACCGAAGGAAAGCATGTGAAAGACTGAAACTGAAAGAGAGCATGCATCCTCTCTTTAGAGCAATGGTTCCAAACCAGGGGGGATATTTAGTTTTAGTTTATGAGTATAAAAAACTATTTTTACTCAGTTTTAGAATTATGAACATTTTTATAATTTTTGTTCAATTTATGAAACAGTTTAAAAATATTCTAAATCTAAATGAATGCGTATATGTATTTTTCAAGCTTAGGAAATGAGGTGGGTGGGAATGATCTACAAACAATATTATTCAACAATTATGTGGCGGTGGAAATCTTGTACTTATAAAGTAACCAAGCTGCTATTTTTTGCATCAAAGTGTACGAAGTAGTTAGTTTTATAAACATGAAAAGTTAACCTTCAATTCCGTGAATTCCATCCAGTACTAGTTTAGGCATCAAAGTGTCCGAAGTAGTTTTATAAACATAAGAAGGACAACCTTCAGTTCCGGGAATTCCCTCCAGTGCGTTGAATTGCGTGAAATTCTCTTATCTAATCTTCAATACAAGCTTCAAACTTAATCCCTCATTTATATTGTATAGATGTTTAATAAATAATGAAATTGAAATGCTAATTCTTCCTAATTTTTATAAACCAACTTTATCCCGAGAATCCTTCATCAACTTCTATCAAGTTAACTATTAAGTTTTATTATCAAATTGAATAAACTTACTTGATTAAGCAGAGAAGTGCATCCGGAGTTATATTCCTTATCACAACGTCCCGGCCTTCCTTAGTTGGATTTAATACCTTCAGAGTTGGATATTTTTGAATACACTCAAGTAATTTGTTTTTTGGAACCCTCATCACTTTTCTAAAATTGTTCTCAACAGGTACAGCCAGTCGCACTATTTCCATCGTGAAACTTTTCCAGCTGTTTCAAATGAGCATTTGCGTGTCCAATCATACCATTTGGCGAACAAAACATAAGTAATAAATACTTTCAGTTGACGCATTTTTATCAGCATTGCTATTGGGTGCTGATAAGATACCAGTCTCTTTGGTTTAGGTTTACAATTGGTTACTCTTTTTGTTCCTGTATAGAAAATGAATATGTAATCGTAATTATTTACACTGGCAGTTGAAAGAAAACAATTATATCTGAATTTGTGCGTGATGAGAACCAGATGTACCAATATTATGTTAACAATAGTCAATGCAAATGCTGTAACATGACTGATACTTTAAGTTTTCATATGGAACAGATTTTAGCTGTAGAATGAGTCACGCTTTTAGTTTTTAAACTTTATCTGCTCGTCTGTAATGATTTGCGCTTCACTTGATCGATGACAAAAGCTGCTAATGAAAACAAATGCAAACTAAAACTATATTTTTCTTTTTAATTTTTAGTTCGAAATAGCATATTTTGGTTAACGTTTATTTTCAGCGCAGGTGAAGTTTCTAAAAAGACAAAAAATAGTATAGTAAGAATAGTGTAGTAAGATAGAAATAGTATAGTGAGAATTCATGTTATTTGACAGAAGATGATTTATGGGGAAGGAATATATAAAAGAAACACATGAAGGATTACAGATTTTGAAGTCGTAGCAGACGGTTTGTTAAGATTTTATGCTCTCGCAGTTCATCAATCTGCTCTCGAACTCCTGCTAACTTCTTCACTCTTCTTTCCTTGTCTTTTTAAATTTATTATCAAACAGAGCTTTTCGCAGTTACGCCACATAAAATTCAAAACAAAAATATTTAAAAATACCACATTTTTAGAACTTCCCATATAGTATTAAGTGCTACCATAAATTTTTCAATTTTTTTTCAGTCTTTATCACTTTATACTATCAAGGTTCAGTTTTCTTAATGACGTTTATTATAAATTAATGTAAATAAACTGGCCAAAGAATTCCTGAAAAATCTCATTTCAATGAAAATGAATTCATAACTTCATTTGATTGTACTGTACAAGATGTAAATGCTGTAAAATGCATCAAGACGATTCTTAATGAGCATACTCTTGAGGGTAGTGATATTAGTTCATCTTACTTCTTTTCTATGAGTGTTTACTATTCGATTGTGTATTTGTGCCGACTCTCCTAAGGAACTCTGTATAAATATTGTTTTGAAAATTTTGTGGATTTGTGACAATGAACATTCTTCCAGCAGGCATAATTCACAACATTAAGTTTTATTTGACAAGGGTAGTGCCTCGAGCACAAGCATCTTGGTATCGCACCATTCTATGAACAAAAAAACTGAGGATCGGAATTAATAATACCTTTGGTGCTAAAATTTAAAAAAAAAAGGCTCCCGTAAAATTTGCCATTTTTCATGTAGGCTCCTCTTCTTACATCTTACTATTCAATTCGAATATCGCTTCGACTTCGAATACAGAAAAACGCGGAAAATATTTTTCAGTCTGCTTATAGATTCCTCTTTTCTTCACAAAGGTTACTGAAATCACTTCACAAAGGTTTCAAATCCACATGTTTTCAAAAAGTTCCTTAATTCATACCATTGATTCGTAAATTAAAATAACGAGCTACTTGCACACATTGTATAGTTTCTCATTTGATTTGTAATGGTCGCTTGGCAATTTTTCTTCAGTCAACTTTAGAATCGTGGAGTACAAAGGAATAAAGCATTTCTCTTATGTACTACAATCGTATTTAAGGTTCCGAATTCGATTCTAAGCAAGAGTGCTGTGGAGTTTTTAAAGCTCTGTGGCCCTTAAACTCTTTTTGTACCCACGACATTGTTTTCTTCCATGTGTTTTACAGTAAAATTAAACAAAAATACTGCTATAACCTAACGGTAAATGGCAACAGTAAAAAAAAATTGAAACATCTAAAATCTGAACCGTTAGTTAAAAGATTCGACAGATTTTTGCATGGACATAACTTTTCCTCTTATCCAAGAGTAATTGCTTTATGTTACCTTTATTATTTTTGACATGTAATTCTTCCATGTAGTGTTTTTCTTATAATTATAATTCTTTCTTATTTGCTTGGTTAAATGTAAAGTTTACATGGCCCTCTGGTTATAAACTGCAGCCCAACAGTGGGCTCGAAGCCTCAAAAATTTAAAACTTATTACCGAAAGCGGAGTGCAAATTTTTTTCTTCGAGATCTTCCTGCGTTAAAAGAAGAAAATTTCCACCCTGGTGATATGGAATATTTTGATTTTTGACGATCTGGAAATTAACAGCCATCCTAGGAGTGAAGGATTAATCCAATGTCCTTGCGTTTATTGTAAAGCAATCATGCAGTAAGTAGGAATTGTATTTTATACAAAGTTAAATTGATTATGATAGTTTAACATACAGCAAAAAGCATGTTTAATTTTGTAAATAAAAAGAAATAATATTTGAGAATCAAAAAGAAATGAATCAACAGAAGGAAATGATTGAAAATACGTCATTAAAAGTCAAAGCTACTGGAACGGATGAACCAAAGAATAAATGTGCAAATTCTCCAGATCCTAAATTCAATCTTATTAGTCTCGGTTATCATTGATTAGAAAAGAAATCTTAAACTCTATTTGATAAACCTGCGAAAAACTGGAGCAACTCATCAGAGGCTTGGAAAAAGAAATATAAGGCCTTGAAGATGGAGGAAACAGTTTAAAAGCTGAAAGGCTCTGGTTCTACAACAGATGATTGTTCTAACTTTTTAATATTCTCATAAGAAACTTTTTAATATTCTCATAAGAAACAAAGTTCAAATTTAGAAAAGGAAAATAAGTGGCTCAAAAATGTGTTGCATTAAGTGCAGTCGTCTAGCAAAAGTAATGAAGATAAACAAAATAGTAATTCCACAGATGCTGTCAAAGTTGCCTTCGAACTATTCTGACATTTTCAAAATTTTTACTTTCAAAGTTCCTTTTATAGTAGGGTGGATCTGATATTGTGATTTGGCTTTTAGAATTCGAGAGTCGCTTCAAACCAGGGGGAGATCCAACCCCATATAATGAACTTTTCAAGAACTGATTATATCAAAATCGTAAAAAACAACCTTGTATTTAGCGTAGGTATAATGAAACACTCAGTCGATTTCGAGGGAAGCTAAAGGTCCCTCCTCATCAGGAGAAAGAAGATAATAGGAGAAGGAGTCACAGAAACACGTGGTCCTTATCAGCACTGCACGTGGTTATAACTAGATTTTTAATCAGAGTTGCACTGGCCGCCTACTTTTACTGAGCCAGGCTATCTGATCAAGCATAAAATTATTAAGTTAAAATAGGGAGCGAAGGGCAAATGCACCTTATGCTCAAAATCTGAGCTTCAGATAATAGAAAGCAACCACTGAAAGGATTTTTATACTCTCTGGTAGTACCAAACGCGAGGAGGTAACGCCATCTATCGGCAAAAATAACTGAATTAAGATAGTAGAATTTTAAAGGCATTAGGAAGGACTGGATTGGACTTCAAATCATTAACTGAACTTGCTAAATCTTTGTGAATGTGAAAAGCCTCAAGAAAATCCAATTCACCTACGGAAGGAGCCTTTTGGATGATTTTTGCAGACCCAAAATCAAAATTATGGTTAAAAGTCCAACTATGATACGCTATTGAAGACTTGTTAATTTCGCCTTTTTTGACATAAGATTCATGTTCCTTGATACGAAAACTTGAATGCTCTTTTTGTTTGGCCAATATATCTTAAACCACACTGACACGATATACTATAAATTCCCCAAGAATTCAAGACAGAAACGCAATCTTTTAGAATGGAAGGGTGAATTTTATTAATAGGGGAGAAACCGACTTGAAAATTGAATTTCTGGTATAGCTAACAGAAGGATAAAATGGAAGCACGACAAGGTCATTAATATTATTTCTAACAGTGGAATTTCTTTCTTTGATGGGAATCTGAAAATTTTTTAACGGCTTTATCAATAATCACGGGAGAAAATCCACGGTCAATCGCAACTGCTCTCAAATAATTAAGTTCATTGGTAAGCAAAGATTCAGATGAACAAATTTTAAGCACGCGGAAAACATAATAGTAAAAAGAAGCCATTTTTTGCTTAACGGGGTGGCATGACTTGGCATGGGGGCCAAGTCATGCCACCCTGTCATTGGCATGGGGGCCAAGTCATGTCATCTTATGTCAAAAAAGGCGAAATTAACAAGTCTTCAATAGCGTATCATAGTTGGACTTTTAACCATAATTTTGATTTTGGGTCTGCAAAAATCATCCAAAAGGCTTCTTCCATAGGTGAATTGGATTTTCTTGAGGCTTTTCACATTCACAAAGATTTAGCAAATTTAGTTAATGATTTGAAGTCCAATCCAGTCCTTCCTAATGCCTTTAAAATTCTACTATCTTAATTCAGTTATTTTTGCCGATAGATGGCGTTACCTCCTCGCGTTTGGTACTACCAGAGGGTATAAAAATCCTTTCAGTGGTTGCTTTCCATTATTTGAAGTTCAGATTTTGAGCGTAAGGTGCATTTGCCCCTCGCTCCCTATTTTAATTTCGCTAATATTTTTTTATGCTTGATCAGATAGCCTGGCTCAGTAAAAGTAGACGGCCAGTACAACTCTGATTAAAAATCTAGTTATAACCACGTGCAGTGCTGATAAGGATCACGTGTTTCTGTGACTCCTTCTCCTATTTTCTTCTTTCTATGTATTTCTTTCTCCTGATGAGGAGGGACCTTTAGCTGCCCTCGAAATCGATTGAGTGTTTCATTATACCTACGCTAAATACAAGGTTGTTTTTTACGATTTTGATTGTCACATTAGCGTGTTTCTCTTCTAGTTTAACTGATTCTATGTAAAGTGAATCATTCCGATTCAGTGATGTTTCAGGGAATCATCCCGATTCAGTGAAGTTTTAGGGAATCATCCCGATTCCATGTTAAATGAATCAGCCCGATTCAGTGAAGTTTTAGGGAATCATTCCTGATTTCCAATGTTAAATATTCTGATCATAACACGATTCTGTGAAGTTTGAGTGGAATAACCCTG